ACGTTTCTTCAGTAAAGATTCCCATGTGTTGCATAAGTGTCTCAATTCTTCATCTCTGTATTAGGACTGAAGAAGCCACTCGAGGCGAAACGTTGCCATTAATAAATGTCCTGAACTGTACATAAGAGTCTTTTCCACATCGTACAGTGTCTCGTGTATTAACAGCCTCCGCTTGGAACTTTTTCTTCTTGGGGTAATTAGGCTAAAGATAGTTCTTTGCGGCGATTGTAATGAGCTCATTAGCCATTTAATTGCAACTCCCCCCACCCCCCTCTTCCAAATTGTCTTCTTACTGCATGCAAATTTGAATGCTAAAAACCTGGCTGTTTGTGCCATAAATACGCACATGTTGCACTGACGACATTATGCAATATTACCATCCCTTCAGTGTCTTCCGCATTTGTTCTGTGGCGGCCATGTTGTCAATACCATTGCATGAGGGTCCTTACATTGTGCAATGTTTGGCTATCTTTATTGTGGAAACGTTTCGCCAACTAGTGAATTCCTCAGTCCAATACGGAGAAGAATGCTTGAAAATCAGAAGGGTTTTGAGGTAATCAGTCCCTGAGCTTGGAGTCGATGCCATCAGTGGATCAGTCTTGAAAAGAATACAACTTAGGTTAGGTAAGGTTTGTCAGGAAACAGGACAAGTGTTTCCTGACGCGGGTCTTTGTCATATAATGACCCGCTGCTGGAGCTTTTGGTCATCTAACCGAGGCCTTCCGCTGGCTTACCGGTCCACCTCCTTTAAAAATTAATACTAGTATATACAGCATATACGCGAAGAAGGGGCTTATATGCTGCAGACAAGGAAAGTGAATTAATCGTAGGTAGTGTCACCTTGGACAAGTGGAAGTAGGTGATGACTGTTTACCTGGAGTTTACCTGGAGAGAGTTTCGGGGGTCAACGCCCCCGCGGCCCGGTCTGTGACCAGGCCTCCTGGTGGATCAGCGCCTGATCAACCAGGCTGTTGCTGCTGGCTGCACGCAAACCAACGTACGAGCCACAGCCCGGCTGATCAGGAACTGACTTTAGGTGCTTGTCCAGTGCCAGTGCCAGTAGAATTCCGTGTGTCGAGCTCCTCCGTGCTTGTGCTGCATTCTTTTCAAGATCGATGGACTGATGACATCGACTCCAGACTGGGGGACTGATTACCTCAGTCTTTTTAATTTTCAACCATTCTTCTCTATATTGGACTGAGGAAGCCACTGGTTGGCGAAATGTTTCCACAGTAAAGATACTCAAGTGTTGCACAAGTGTATAATTTATCAACCTGTCGGTTCTATGCGCCACTTATCTACGATGTTTACCATGATCCCGGAGGGAGCGAAACGTCGTGAGGCTCGTCGCCTAAGCCTGGATTTTTGTTTAACTTTCATCCACGGTTTTAGTGTGTTATTGAGCCAGGATGACCAGTAACATTCTCTCTCTCTCTCTCTCTCTCTCTCTCTCTCTCTCTCTCTCTCTCTCTCTCTCTCTCTCTCTCTCTCTCTCTCTCTCTCTCTCTCTCTCTCTCTGATCTCACACTGAAGGTAGTCACCCCCTCAGTATACACATTATAAATGGTATACGATACCGATAAGTTGATGTATTAGAGCCACTCGTGCCACATCCAGTGGTCTTATCAGTGCAAATTCAAGGACATAATGGGAAGCCTGTAGAAAGATATACTGAAGACGAGGTAATCAGTCCCTCAGCCATGAAATTGGTTATGCCGCAGTACCTGACGTTCTTCTCGGCGACGTTAAAAGATGACTTAGTCCTACTTAGCATAACCTAACCCAGCCTATCACTGTTAACATTATCTAACATAGCTATTAGTCTAGCACAGCCTACAGCTAGGTATTAGTCAAGCCCAGCAGATCTATCTACGGTCTTGTAGAAGTGACGACCTACATGTCGGAAATGTTACTATAAAGTGAAGCGCCAAACCCGTATGGCTTCAGATTGTGGTATGTCGATCGTGATGATTTTACTCGTGTCGTCAGGAGCAGTTTACCAGCCTTTATCTTTTCCTCGTGGTGTCCTGAGCTTCTTTCACCTCTGTGGCTCCCTCGTTTACCTCTGTGGCTCCCTCATTTACCTCTGTGGCTCCCTCGTTTAACTCTGTAGCACCCTCTCTTACCCTTTTGCCACCCTTACTTTCCCCTGTGATACCCTCATAGCACTTCTGGCTTTTCAATGTGGTCCCCTCTGCAGTTTGGACTGGCCATCCTGAGGGGCCATATGACCCACTGTGAGAATCACAGTTCAGGAGTCAATTCTCAACACGAGTCTCAAGATTATATGATTATATTGTTGCTTCATTACAATGTGAAGCAATATTAAAGATTTACTGCGCCAAGAGCTGTAAAATTTGCAGCATTTGACAAATCGTAGATGTACTCGCCGAATTGTGTACGAAGGGAAGGGGGGAGGGCTGTTTTTGGTCGCTTGGTGCTTGTCGTACATAGTCCCGAAGATGTGTACGATGTTTGCCTCCGTTGAATCCTTGTGGAAATCATGCTTCTTTTAAAGTAGTGTTGCTATTGTTGATGGTAAATGAGTTAGTGTGGTCAGTGTTAGTGTGGTCAGTGTTAGTGTGGTCAGTGTTAGTGTGGTCAGTGTTAGTGTGTTCAGTGTTAGTGTGGTCAGTGTTAGTGTGTTCAGTGTTAGTGTGGTCAGTGTTAGTGTGGTCAGTGTTAGTTTGGTCAGTGTTAGTGTGGTCAGTGTTAGTGTGGTCAGTGTTAGTGTGGTCAGTGTTAGTGTGGTCAGTGTTAGTGTGGTCAGTGTTAGTGTGGTCAGTGTTAGTGTGGTCATTGTTAGTGTGGTCAGTGTTAGTGTGGTCAGTGTTAGTGTGGTCAGTGTTAGTGTGTTCAGTGTTAGTGTGGTCAGTGTTAGTGTGTTCAGTGTTAGTGTGGTCAGTGTTAGTGTGGTCAGTGTTAGTTTGGTCAGTGTTAGTGTGGTCAGTGTTAGTGTGGTCAGTGTTAGTGTGGTCAGTGTTAGTGTGGTCAGTGTTAGTGTGGTCAGTGTTAGTGTGGTCAGTGTTAGTGTGGTCATTGTTAGTGTGGTCAGTGTTAGTGTGGTCAGTGTTAGTGTGGTCAGTGTTAGTGTGGTCAGTGTTAGTGTGGTCAGTGTTAGTGTGGTCAGTGTTAGTGTGGTCAGTGTTAGTGTGGTCAGTGTTAGTGTGGTCAGTGTTAGTGTGGTCAGTGTTAGTGTGGTCAGTGTTAGTGTGGTCAGTGTTAGTGTGGTCAGTGTTAGTGTGGTCAGTGTTAGTGTGGTCAGTGTTAGTGTGGTCAGTGTTAGTGTGGTCAGTGTTAGTGTGGTCAGTGTTAGTGTGTTCAGTGTTAGTGTGTTCAGTGTTAGTGTGGTCTGTTAGTGTGGTCAGTGTTAGTGTGTTCAGTGTTAGTGTGGTCAGTGTTAGTGTGGTCAGTGTTAGTGGGGTCAGTGTTAGTGGGGTCAGTGTTAGTGGGGTCAGTGTTAGTTCACCTGGGGTTGTGTGAAGGTGCGGTGACGGTGGCTGTGGTCTTTGCTGCGTTATTCCTGGGGTGTGGGACCGAGGGCGTGGATGTGTTGCACGACCCATGCATGTTCTCTCAGACTCTAGTGTTGCAATGCTTGAATTACACTCGCCTTCATTCCTTGGTAATTAACCTTTCTTATATTTTTCAGCCATTTTCTCTGGCCAGGAGCGAGGAAATATGCAACATTTCTGTGTTCTTTACGTTGCTAACACTTGTGTAAGAGTAGCCATAATGTGTGTAGGAACCCACAAATAACTCTATTATATTTAGATCAAAGTTATAATGATGGAACCAGAGGAAAGGTGCAGTAGTTGAAGCCATCGTCACATGTGGACGGGGCCCACTAGTATAGACAGATCAGGCCCATAAGGTAGGCCAGAGATTCAGTAGTGGAGCTGTAGGAGATATTGTGTGTGTACCGAGATAACATGGTGTTGCTGTGCCACATGTGGAGTTGTGGTACAGAGAATATCTTCTGTAACTCCATTGCTTATTCTATGGTCCATCTAATGGGCCTGACTTACATGTGGGTCGCACCCACATGTGATGTCGTCTATAACTGCTGCATCTAACCACTGCTGCTTCTGGCTTCATTATAAATAGTTTCATCCTCAATAAAATTGATAAAGCCAATTCTGCATTCTGTATTTACTGTAAGAGGTTCGCTGGTCTTGTCCCGGCCCGGGTCTTTTCCAGATGGTGACCCGGCAACTGCATTTGAAGTATTTCTCAAGAAAGATACCGCAGGTGTTACCCATGTTCCCTAGTCACTGACTCAGTAATTAGAGGTAAAACTTAACGTTTCGGTCTGCCCTGAAGCAATGTCACCTCACCAATTGATTCCGGTCCAGGTCTGACCGAAATGAATGCAGTGACATGTTAACATGTAGAAAGACGAGGAAATGGCCTGAAGCTGTTTTCCGGGAAGAAAGGCTTTTCGCTCTGTGTCGAGTTTCACGTTGTCCAAGTTTGTGCCGCACCTTGTGTCTTGATCTTCCTGTGACGCTCAGTTTATTCAGTAGACTTTATGAATTAAGAACATATGAGAAAAAGAACACTGCAGCAGGTCTACTGGGGCAGGCCCATGTCAACCCCCGGCTTAGACCAATGACCCACCCAGTCAGGTCACCGCCACTTAAGGAAGGAGCACGGCATCTGACTCAGTAGAGCTGTTCCATAAGACGCTCAGTTTATTCTGTAGACTTTGTGAATTGTTCCATGAGACGCTCAGTTTATTCTGTAGACTTTGTGAATTGTTCCATGAGACGCTCAGTATATTCTGTAGACTTTGTGAATTGTTCCATGAGACGCTCAGTTTATTCTGTAGACTTTGTGAATTGTTCCATGTGACGCTCAGTTTATTCTGTAGACTTTGTGAATTGTTCCATGAGACGCTCAGTTTATTCTGTAAAGTTTGTGCATTACTGTGAATTGTTCCATCTACTGTTTAGTGACTTTGATTTTCATGAATAATACAATGATTTTTCTCTCTGCAGGTACGTGTGTAGTGCGATGGTGAGTCCATGTGTAGAGTACGGAGGTGAGTCCATGTGTAGAGTACGGAGGTGAGTCCATGTGTAGAGTACGGAGGTGAGTCCATGTGTAGAGTACGGAGGTGAGTCCATGTGTAGAGTACGGAGGTGAGTCCATGTGTAGAGTACGGAGGTGAGTCCATGTGTAGAGTACGGAGGTGAGTCCATGTGTAGAGTACGGAGGTGAGTCCATGTGTAGAGTACGGAGGTGAGTCCATGTGTAGAGTACGGAGGTGAGTCCATATTTAGAGTACGGAGGTGAGTCCATATTTAGAGTACGGAGGTGAGTCCATATTTAGAGTACGGAGGTGAGTGCGTAACTTCCTATGGTCCAGTGTAAGAGTATTAGACACTCTTGGGGAATGACAACAGTGGCAGTGTTGAGCAGTGGCAGCAGTGACACCAGTGGAAAAAACGTGCTGCAGAAACAGCTTTCACTGCGTCAACGTTTCACTTGATAAAGTTCCGAAATGTCGCCCCAGTAAACACTTGATTACTACTGTTGTGAAGACTTTATTCTGTAACCCATAATTATCAACTGAAATTGATTATTGTGACTGGCACTTGCACTCTTGTATTGTTCTTCACTGGTTGATGCTAACACTGGTACACCAGTGTTGCTGCATGGGTACACCAGTGTTGCTGCATGGGTACACAAGTGTTGCTGCATGATACCAACACCGGTGCTCCATTGCACCGAGCTGTGGTACTTGTGTAATGGTTTAGAAAAGTGATAAGTTGAAGAATGAGATACTTGTGCAGCACTTGGGAATCTTTATTGAGGAAACGTTTCGCCAGCCAGTGGCATCTTCAGTCCAGTATAAAGAAGAATGGACCGAAGAAGCCACTGGCTGGTGTGGTAATGCTGGTCTGTGTGCTGCTAGCACCAATGGCCTCTCTGATCAGATCACCAATTAGAGAGCCAACGAGCGGAGGATCAAGCCTCTACCATGTTATGCGATGAATCAGTCACATGAATAAAAAAAATGAAGGTATTCACGTGCAGTTGCCTGGTGTAAGGGGTTCTTCAAGGTTGATGAGAAGGTCGCGTTACACTAAGCTAGCTCACAATGCCGTACAATCAGTAGAACACCCCATAATATAGCCTTCGTCAGAGGCGACTAATATTAACATGGTAGGTAAGACACAGGCAACTGTTAGTCAACTTTATTCCGAAACGTTTCGCTTACACAGTAGGCTTCTTCAGTCGAATACAGAAAGTAGGCAGGAACAATAGAGATGTGAAGACGATGTAATCAGTCCATCACCCTTGAAGTCGTAGAATTTGAGGTTGTCAGTCCCTCAGCCTGGAGAAGTTCAGTTCCATAGTCAGGAACTATCTGTCGGTATTGTATACCATTTTGATGTTCATAATATTAACATACAAACAGTGGAGAGTGAAGATGTAATAAGTCCATCAACAAGTAGTTTTGCGGTGGTCCGTCACCCAGGGCTTGAGGGACTGACCACCTCCCACACTAGCTGACTGACCGATCATGTCAGTACACCTTCCTGTTGTGGTGGTGAAACATTTCAGCAATAAAGATACCCAAGTGTTGCAAATGTATCTTATTCTTCAATAAAGAGAATCTTATATTTAACTTGAGTAAATGGTGTGTGATGGAAGTGTGTGCAAATTTAAAAAGTTGCCAGTGTTGCAGGTAAGACAAACGTGGCAACATAAGTGCCTTCTTCAGTCCTAATACAGAGACAGTTCAGTAACAAGTATTTAAATGCCATGAGTCAGATGGCTAATTGTGAGATACTAGTGGTAGCAGAGGTAGTAGTAGTAGTAGTAGTAGTAGTAGGCGTAGTAGTACAGCTGAGGCGAGATATGTTGGGGAAATGGGATGGTGATACCGACAAGATGTGGAAAAAGACACTTACGTACAGTTCAGGGCATTTATTAGAGGAAACGTTTCGCCACGAGTGGCTTCTTCAGTCCTAATATGTTGAGATATGTTGGGTTTGAGAAAGACCTGTCAACATCTTGGGGTCATCTCAAAAGGTTGGACGAATGTAAATATGAATAGGTGAGTGTTGAAGGTACAGTGTTGTCATGCAGTGGTTGTGTAGCTGTCGTTTGGCCAAGGTACAGGCGTTCTGTAGCTGCCTGAGTTCTGTCGTTGGTTGTTAAATTGTTGCTTGTTTAATTTATGTTAAGCACTAAACCCATGTGGATCATTTAGCGCAAGACCTGGTGGAGGCTTGATCCTCCGTCTGCTGAGCGCCAGACAGACGCACTTCCGATTTATACTGGCCAGGCACCTGCGTCTGTGCAAATCGTTTTCAGGAATTGTGAATTTAGCTTAATTCCCTCTACTCTTCTATGATATACACAGGCGTTATTTTGATCTATCCGTCTGTTTGCGTTTTTTTTTATCTTCCCGATTGCAGGCGTTTTGGTGTTTTGATATCTGAGATGAAGTGTTCTTGGTGGAACGTTTCGCCCATGTACTTATTTTTCGCAGCATCTGATGGAGATCGAGGCCTTGGTGGCTATTTCATGTGTCCGTCTATCATTAGCAATGATACTCTGGAAGCTACGTTGCTCGCTGCTACAACCATGTGTTTGTCGGCCGATTCTGTTGTGTTCTGGTGTGGTGGTACCAACAAGATGTAGAAAAAGACTCTAAGGTACAGTTCAGGACATATATTAGAGGGAGCCTTTCGCCACTAGTGTCTTCAGTTGAGGATGACCGTGGCTCTCTCTCTGCAGTCGTTGATTGTTATGTATCAGCACGACAGGGTTACCAGGTCCCAGTGTAACAAGTTCATATGTGAATATGCTATAATTTTATGATACAATAATTATTAGCGAGGTAGAAGAGAGGGACCTTTATTTTTTGGACGATACCTAAGTGTAGTATGGTAGAGAATGAGACGGATATTATTGCTAGAGCAGAGCGTCTGTCATGTATTGAGCTATTTATGATGGGGCTAATATTGGCAATTACGTCAGTAGTTATACAGAAGAAGCAGAGAGCAGACATAACAGTTCAGACCAAGGTTATCTGGATAGGGAAATTTACCGGCCCGCGGCCAGTCCTCGTTGCTCACTACCTGGTCAATCTGATTGTGGTTGCCAGCAGCTCCCACGTGTTATATAGCTACCACAACCTATTAACCTTTCCTTCCCCTCCCCTGTGTTATGTATTGATGGTGGAGCCAGAGTGAGGCCATTGTAGACCAAGTGAATTACGTAATCTGTTTCTCCTAAATTTATGTCTGCATTTTGCTGTCCCTGTATAATAGTTACACAGTGGGAAAATAGCCAGCTCTGTTTTCTTGTTATATTCCATTCCAAAAACAGGGTTGCTTATACAGGTAGAGGTAGGTTCGCCAGGTCATCCTGGCCCGGGTCTTCTCCATGTGGTGGCCCGACAGTGGCTCATCATAGGGAAAGCGGTTGCTTATACGATGTAATGTCTTTCAGTCTAAGCTGGGAGACTTCAGTAAGGAGATGAGGATATTGTCAAGCATTCGCCATTGGGTTCAGCGGTTTTGGGAGCTTCAGAGCTTATGTTGTTTTAGCAGGGCTGGAGGTAGTATTACTTGGGCATTGACGTCTCCCAGGAAAGGAAACCTGGTGAGTAAGAGTGAGAGAGCCAGTGCTGTTACAGTGGTTGAAGATGCAGTACCAGAACACAACAAATTATAAGCAGCGAATCCCTGGTCCCTTCATAGCTCTAGTGCCCGTGTTGAAGCCTCTTGTCAGTGAGATCTTCCAGTGTAGCTTGTTGAAGCCTCTTGTCAGTGTGATCTTCCAGTGTAGCTTGTTGAAGCCTCTTGTCAGTGTGATCTTCCAGTGTAGCTTGTTGAAGCCTCTTGTCAGTGAGATCTTCCAGTGTAGCGTGTCTCATGGTGGCACTTACGTGATCTTCCGGTGACAGTCTTTGGTTAGCATCTCTCTCTCTCTCTCTCTCTCTCTCTCTCTCTCTCTCTCTCTCTCTCTCTCTCTCTCTCTCTCTCTCTCTCTCTCTCTCTCCAGCCAGACGATATATAATATTTACCTACGTACATTTTGATCCTCCATCTGTCAATTTTGTTTTTAGGTAATCAGTCCCTTAGCCTTGGAGTTGGTGCACCGTAGTCGTGGAGGTTCTGCACAGCTCCTGGGCTACTAGTAGTAATAGACACAGCTCCTGGGCTACTGGTAGTACCAGGCACAGCTCCTGGGCTACTAGTAGTGCCAAAGCTTCTGGGCTACTAGTAGTACCAGACACAACAGCTGGGCTACTAGTGATACCAGATACAGCTCCTGGGCTACTAGTAGTACTAGACACAGCTCCTGGGCTACTAGTAGTACCAGGCACAGCTCCTGGGCTACTAGTACTAGACAGCTCCTGGGCTACTAGTAGTACCAGGCACAGCTCCTGGGCTACTAGTATCAGACAGCTCCTGGGCTACTAGGGATACCAGACAGTTCCTAGGCTTCTAGTACTACTGGACACAGCTCCTGGACTACTAGTAGTACCAGGCACAGCTCCTGGGCTACTAGTAGTACCAGGCACAGCTCCTGGGCTACAAGTAGTGCCAGACACAGCTCCTGGGCTACTAGTGATACCAGACACAGCTCCTGGGCTACTAGTAGTACCAGACACAGCTCCTGGGCTACTAGTAGTACCAGACACAGCTCCTGGGCTACTAGTAGTACCAGACACAGCTCCTAGGCTACTAGTAGTACCAGACACAGCTCCTGGGCTACTAGTAGTACCAGACACAGCTCCTGGGCTACTAGTACCAGACACAGCTCCTGGGCTACTAGTAGTACCAGGCACAGCTCCTGGGCTACAAGTAGTGCCAGACACAGCTCCTGGGCTACTAGTGATACCAGACACAGCTTTTTGGCTACTAGTAGTGCCAGACATATAGCTCTTGGGATACTAATGATACCAGACACAGCTCCTGGTCTACAAGTTGTACCAGACACAGCTCCTAGGCTACTAGTAGTACCAGGCACAACTCCTGGGCTACTAGTAG